ACCTCCACATCTCCTAATACCACACCGAATGATAACCAATGGATGAAACTGGATTTTAGAATCACATCTTGAACAGAGATTTAGGGATCTGAAAAGTCTTATTCTCCCCCCCCCCCCTAAATTTCACCAGCATTCTCATCCTATCCCAGTTCAGGTGGCAAGTCATTTATCTTTTCACTGACAGAAACGTGTGCATACTTTGTGTATAAATATAGACGATTTTAATACATTCCTCCCCCTGCCCCAATATATAAAGTGCATTTGTAGTCATTAGTGGTGGCGCAAAGGGACGTGGTGGCGCTGTGGGCTAAACCGCAGAAGCCTGTGCTGCAGGGTCAGAAGACCAAGCAGTCGTAAGATCGAATCCACGCGACGGAGTGAGCGCCCGTTGCTTGTCCCAGCTCCCGCCAACCTAGCGGTTCGAAAGCATGAGTCTTATTCCCCCCCCCCCCAAATTTCACCAGCATTCTCATCCTATCCCAGTTCAGGTGGCAAGTCATTTATCTTTTCACTGACAGAAACGTGTGCATACTTTGTGTATAAATATAGACGATTTTAATACATTCCTCCCCCTGCCCCAATATATAAAGTGCATTTGCATGCCTTTTTTCAAGACTATGAGTTCTTGAGTGTGTAGTCATTAGTGGTGCTTACCCACCTCTCGCTACCACTGGCCATGTGACCATGGAAAGATTGTCTTCGGACAAAACGCTGGCTCTATGGCTCGAAGAGCGGGATGAGCGCCGCCCCCTAGAGTCGGACACGACTGGACAAAAATTGTCAAGGGGAACCTTTACCTTTACCTTTACTAGTCATTAGTGGTGCTTACCCACCCCCGCTAGTCACATGAAGTGCAACATCAGAGATATATGGATTTCTAAAATAAAATGTGTGCTGCCAGTCTTAAGAGGTGTGAAAATGGATATTGTAATAGGGAAATTTTGAATTCAATGAACTTTTCTCCATACCTAGACAGAGGATCACTAGAAATGCTATCATTTCATTGGGCCTAGAAATGATAACCTCAAAAGAGAACTGTATACAGGAACTTCCCAGATTCCCCACCTTACACCAGCATCGGGACACCGTCTGATCTGAGCAGGGAGGGTGCAGGATACGATGCAGCCCCCTTCGTGGACCACGGGCTGTCTATGTTCTTCCTTTGGAGGGCTGTTGCTGTGAAAAGTATCTCTGCAGAGACAAAAGTCTGACTCCTGTGGGGGGACCCACTTTCTTCAAGACTCTGCAAGACAGGGGCCTTTTCAGGCACCCGCTAGTCAAACCAGCTGCTTATACAAAATGAGCCAAAGTCTTGTTCAGGTGCATGGAGAGTAGCCATGCCTCTAAAGAAGTCGGATTAGTCCACGAAAGCTTGTATCAAATAAAGGATGTTCATTGTTAAGGTGCCACAAAATGTTTCATTATTTTACTGCAACAGACTGAGGTCGCTTACCCTCTTGGAAATTTATGCAAAGCAATGCATAAAAGAGTTCTCTGTTATAGGAGCTCAGTTTTTGCCCCTGAGAGCTGCAACATCTTGTCCACTTCTTATCTCTCTCAGATTGTAGGGATTTTTTAAAAAAAGGCATAGCCAGTGCAGTACTTTGAGAGAGAGAGAGAGAATCAGCATTTCTTGAGACTTCCAAGAGCAGCGATGGGGTTTCTGGTGGTGTCTGAAAGAGTCTGGGAAGGGAAGAAGGGGCTGCAAAAATGGCCACGGGATTCCCACATGGGTCTCGTACACTGGCTGACCTTGGCTTTCCACATTTTCGGAGCAGTCCTTTCCCAGGTCGTACCTGGAGAGGTGAAGAATAGACTTGGGACCTTCAGCATGGAAGCTTCATCAACCCACCTGGCCTCCTTCCTTTGCTGCATCTGTGAGCCAGAACATCACCTGTGGACTAGCTGGGAGATTACGTTTTACAGGGACAAAAGATGCAGTTGGCTTCTTGAGATAGCTGCACTATGTGTGTGTGTGCACATTGGCAGTCCGTGTCCAAAGAGATAATGCTAGTATTGGAAACCGGCATGCTTCACTTGGCAAAGGTGAGCCATATTGCTTGGAAGTGGGTCTACATCCCTCCAGACCGTATGTCAAGGCTGGCCCCATCAGGGCATATGCCGCCAGATAGCAGAGGGAGCAGCTGTCAAGGCTGGGTGCCGTTTCCTGCGTAGGAGTCGCAAGTTCCTGCTGCCCTTAAAGCTACGGCCAGAGAGGAGAGAGGAAACGAGCAGAAAGGAGCTGTGAAATGCTAAGCCCTGTGCGCGAGGCACAAAGTAAATGGGTCATTTATTAGGAACAGCAAGTCTCTCATTTGATAGAGAAGATGTCTTGCAGTTCTAGGCTTGGAATATTGTCTAGGCTTGTAAAACCGACAGCCATGATCTTTGATTTGCCTGGATTTAAAAAAAAAAGTTCATTTCCTGAGATGCTTGTTATCTTAGTTAAGTATTATGCTACTTAATGGGGTCTTCACAATGGAGCTTAGAAAAATCCTTTTTGGACTACAATTCCCAGACTTCCCTACTCAGCATGGCAAAGAACTTTCTAAACTCTGCTTCACAGTATCCTTGTCAGGTCCCAACAACAAAAACAACCCAGACTGTGACGGGAAGGGATAGTGAGACTCCTACTATTCTAGTCCCAGGCACACAGTTCTGTTTCGTGTGGCGCTTCTACTTTGCCACCTGTTGTTGTGTTAATAACTTTTCCTGGTTCTCATTTCAGTAGTGAGGGATGGGAAGCTTGGTGAAGTATGGAAATGCCAACCCTCACCTTTCTGGAAATTATAGCAAGACACGCACAGTCAACCCTAAGATATATTGCCCCCTGCGTGACAAGCACCTTTAGTCGCTATCATCCACAATAAATGTTGCACATCACTCAGAGGGTTTATGAGGCCCGGGGAAGGGAGGTATGAAAGGGAGGGAGGTGGTGCTGCCCCTACAAATACCCACAGATGTGTGTAAACAGCTGGGAGAGGCACATGTGAGAATTACTGAAGCAGCTCCTCCTTGCCCTTGGATCACACAGACAGACGTGCTTCAAATAGTTGTTGTGTGTTTTTCGGGCTCTTTGGCCGTGTTCTGAAGGTTGTTCTTCCTGACGTTTCGCCAGTCTCTGTGGCCGGCCTCTTCAGAGGACAGCACTCTGTGCTCTGGTGCAGTTTGTTTGGGAGTTGAATATTTATCGCTGTGAGATCAGCTTTTATCCTTTTCAGGAGATGGGTGATTATGGTGATCAGTGTGTTTTTGTTGTGGGTGTATTGTTGTGATAAGGAGGAGAGAGTATCTGTCACTGTGATTAATGGGTGTCGTTAGCTGGTCTTTTGTGTGTAGTGATCACCAGGCCTTGTGGCTGGGTAGAGGTTGTTGACCTTTTGCACGCTGTATTTTTCAAATAATTTTTCTTGCATAGGGATCAAGTTGTGCTTCCCCTGAGGGACTCCTCCAGAATTCTCCAGGGAGAACTTATTCCATGCTTCCTAGGCGCCGTCTCACAAGTTTTTTGCCTGTGGCCTGTTCACCTTTTCCACTACTCACTCAGGAACACTTTCCCCTTACAATCTAGCCTCTCGTCCCTTTTACACCTTTCCTAGTGGTCATTGCCATGGAAGGCTACTCTCCAGTGACTCTCTGCCTGATAATCCGAGGTGCTCAGCCACTCATTCTTTTTCTAAGTGCCATGGAGTTCTTTCTTTTACAATACGTAAAAGAATCTCCGGCCTCAGAAGAAACTGTCCTTAGAACTTTCCCTGTTCCTTCTCTCCTTATGGCAAACTTAGTTATTGGAGCTACTTGAACTGTGCCTTCCGTAAGCCTGCCTGATCAATGTAATCCCTTTTCCTGTCTAGACATAAATAAAATATTTTATCTGTTGTTTGTTTATATTCTATTATAATTGGGCTGCAGCCTAACAAAGAAGCAGGTCCTTCCCTCCCTTCTAGCCACTCAAGGATACATTTTACAGTCCACTTAAGTTTCACCAAAGAAGAAGAAATAATTCTGTAATGTTTTACCAAACCAAATGCACACCAGTTCTGTAAATGTAAAGCCTTAGTTAGTATCTTTTATGTGTCACACACAATTGTATAAAAATATTCACTTCCTTTTGACCAGGTCCCATTATTTCAGAATTACATGTGGAGAGTTAGTGTCATCTTAGGCTAGATAAAGCTCAGTGAATTAAATATCGGGGTTGGGCGTTCAATTTTTCAGTGTGCCCCAGGAGAAGAGCCAGCCTGTGTAACCCTGGGCAAAATGCACAGTCCCACAATAGTGTATCTGGAACAGGAATTACAACATGGGAGGCCTGGGGCAAATTACTTCAATGTCCACCCTGGAGCAGCCATATCGTTTTTCAGAGTAAGCGAAACTGTACGCTTCAAGCATGTATACAATATTGAAACAGCGCCGTCTACGTTGGCTTGGGCACGTCGTGAGAATGGCTGATGGTCGGATTCCAAAAGATCTCCTGTATGGAGAATTAGTGCAGGGAAAGAGCCCTAGAGGGAGACCCCAGCTGCGATACAAGGATATATTGCAAGCGGGATCTGAAGGCCTTAGGAATGGACCTCAACAGATGGGAAACCTTGACGTCTGAGCGTTCAGCCTGGAGGCAGGCGGTGCATCATGGCCTCTCCCAATTTGAAGAGACACTTGTACAGCAGACCGAGGCAAAGAGGCAGTCCCGAAACAAGCAAAACCAGGGAGCTGGACAGGGGACAGATTGGATTTGTCTCCAGTGTGGAAGGGATTGTCACTCTCGAATTGGCCTTCTCAGCCACACAAGACACTGTTCCAAGACCTCCATACAGAGCACGATACCATAGTCTCTTGAGACTGAAGGATGCCTACACGCTTCGTGTAGGATTGCAAAACCAAGCCAAGCAGCTGCACAGTAGAATCTCCTTCTGTTCTGCAGTCCCCATCTGACTTCTCTACGGCTTCTTTTTGCCTGCTTCAAGGGCACCCTCATATGATTTTCCTTTCTTCTGCAGTCTTAAGAGATGACTTCCGCCAGGCTCCCAGCGATGTGGTCGTGGCTGCCGGTGAGCCAGCTGTGATGGAGTGCATTCCCCCGAGGGGACACCCAGAGCCGACCATTTCCTGGAAGAAGAACAACATCCGCATCAGTGACAAGGATGAGCGCATTACGGTGAGACAAAATCCCACTTCAGGCGTTCTGATGAACTCATGGAGGAGAACATTCGGGATGAGGACTATGGGAATGAGTGCCCCCCATCCTAAATGTCCCCAGATCTACTTCCAGCAGTGATAGAGACTTACAGGTGTTGAGAATGAAAATCTAGAGAGGACTCTGTAAGTACAGTCAACAAAATGCACATACAGAGTCTTCACACTTTCGTGCTCATTGTGCAATGCACGCTTCCAGGGGATGGGATGTTCAGAGGGAGGGACTTACCTGTAGACCCACATCTCCACCACAAATTTAGCTTTACACATGAGCATGCAAAGTCTGGAAAGGGCTTAACAGAGCCTCTGATCTTTGAAACCAGGGGCAACATCGTGCCTCCTCCTAGCAGAAACATTTCCATGTCAATGTTGATGAATAATATTTTTTCCAGAATGGTTCTCTCCGCAACTGCTGGAACAGTCAGGAGCATTAGAAGTGATTTACTGATTCTACAGGCTGGGCTGGGTTAGGGACTTGGGGTGTGATCCGACGGTTGCAAGGTGCATTCCTGATCGCACCAGATCGGGCCATTTTAACTGAAGCAATCCCAGCCCATCCCCCAAAAAATAAAAGCCCTACAGATGGACAAAAAAGATCTAACCTGGACATGGATCGGGGTCAGGCCAGGGCAAACTTCCCGCTGCATGATATGATCTCTAGAAACAGATCACATCAGATCACTCCACAAGCAGTCCAGATCGCACCCTGAGACCATAATGTCATGGTTGGCATTCCTGATCGCACCAGATCGGGCCATTTTAACTGAAGCAATCCCACTTAAAGTGACCATTCTGTCTGCCAGGGTAGATTGAAGCTTTAGGACCCCCAGTGTTATTGTCCCAATCTAAAATAAGCACCCCACACTGGCAATTTATATGGGCAGGGCTTAGACCCTGAGACATAGTTTCTCTCTCCCTAGAGAGCAGTTTTCAGGTCAAGGATCACAGTGCCATTTCTGAGCTCTACAATCCAGTGACAGTGATCAGTGGATTTCAGGGAAGATCACTTAGTCTCTTGAGGTTATTTAGAGCAGTGGTCCCCAACCTTGGGCCTCCAGATGTTCTTGGACTTCAACTCCCAGAAACACTGGCCAGCAGAGGTGGTGGTGAAGGCTTCTGGGAGTTGTACTCCAAGAACATCTGGAGGCCCAAGGTTGGGGACCACTGACTTAGAGCACCACCTTCTCCAACCACTGCTTCCAAGGACACTCCATAGAAAATTGGTGGTCACCCAAAGAGAGGTGTGAGTAGATGTGTAAATACTTTTAAGCAAGATTTTTTTCTGGGCCTTTCACTATAGATCCGAGGTGGTAAGCTGATGATGTCCAACACTCGCAAAAGTGACGCTGGCATGTACATCTGTGTGGCCACCAACATGGTGGGTGAACGGGACAGCGAGCCTGCAGAACTGGTGGTCTTTGGTACGTAGTGGTGGGGTTCTGCTGGGTAGCTACAATTTGATAGCATATGGTGGGAGGGACTAGCTTGGAAGTAACTGGTTACAAATACTGGGTAACTTACAGTAAATCGCTTCTTTCTGAAAACAAAGGAATAATAACATGACATTATGATTGTAACTTAATGAAAAATAATGTCACTTTTTTTACAATGGAAATACTTCTATAGTAACTAAACGGTGGTGGAGGAAGGAAACCACATGGTTCAAGGGCAGACTCATGCTATGATTCATGTTGCTGCCTCATGCTCTGTGGGTTTTGAAGCCATGACAAGGTGGATAGAGAGAGTGTGTGCTTTGAACTGTATTATGTTATATTTGGAGTTCCTTTTTTCAAAGTAACTAAAAGTAACTAGTTAGTTTTTTAAAAAACAAGAGCACATAATTACTTTTTGCCACCCAGAGTAGACCTTTGGTCTAGATGTGCGGAGAAGAAATCTAATAAAATAAAATTTTAAAAATGCTGAAGCTGTAGAAGTAGCTATTGTTTTGGAACTACAATGGCAAACTATAATATTTCTAAAGTTCCAAGGAAAGACTAAGGTCAGGCTGGGGTTTTTTTAGGGTAAAATAAATAGAAGGTAGCAGATATTAGTGTGAAGCCTGCCCTGGCCCTCTCTGTCCAAACTTATTTCTCATCCTGGTAGAGCGACCAACTTTCATCAAGAGGCCCATAAACCAGGTAGTGCTTGCTGAGGACACTGTGAACTTCTACTGTGAAGTGCAAGGAGACCCCGTCCCTACATCCCGTTGGCGGAAGGAGGAAGGCGAGCTTCCCCAAGGGAGGTAAGTCAAAGCCCTCCAGTCCTAGGATCAAAAGCTTGGCACATCTTTTCTGAGCGATGTGTGACTAAATGGGTTGGCCCCCAAAGGATATCCTTCACGGTTCTTCCCTAACTGTGAAATAAGTGCCATCAAGTACTTTGCACTTTTGGAGAATTAGGGAAATTACAGGCAATAACGATAATGGCAGGAATGAGGTTTGAGTCTCTTGCAATGGCTGGTGGTTCTGCAATGCCGTAGAGGCCGGAAAGGTCAGCTGAGCAGTTCGGTGAAATGGGAAATGGTTCTCGACATCTTTGTCTTGATTTCTGTTTAATTCCTGCAACAATGAGGCATCAGTCAGAATGGGGCTGATGATAAATGCCATCAGAGGCAATTACACAGGTTTCTATGCAGTTAAAGACAGCCATATTCACCCTTCCTCCCCACAGTTTTCCCATATGAAAATAAAGGGTTGTGTGGGGGTTTTTTTCCCCATATGGGGTCATCAATAGGGGACCCATCCCCTAACGTGTGAGGAAAAATATTCAGTTGCTTGCATCATTGACCCTAAAAAGGTGCTTAAAAGTGTTAATACAGTGGTGCCGCGCAAGACGAATGTCATTCGTTCCACGAGTAGCGCTGTCTTGTGAAAAAAAAATCATCTTGCGAAAAGCGGTTTCCCATAGGAATGCATTGCAATGCATTCCTATGGGAACCTTGCAAGATGAATGATTTTTTTTTTTTTTGTCTTAGGCATTGGTCTTGGGGGGGGGAATCGTCTTGCAAAGCACAGCCATAGAAGAAGCCATCTTGCAAGGCACCATAGCGATCACAAAAACCATTTGCCTTGCGGGTTTTTAGTCCCGCGAGGCGTTCGTCTTGCGAGGCACCACTGTATGTTTAACGTGGCATGGGTGATGTGTGTTTTTTTCAAGTGCTGCTGATGGCGCTCAGAAATGCGTGCAGTTAGGATGATCTTGTGGATTTAGCTTTCTAATTCCTGTGAATATTTGTAATTAAAGACATAAAACGCATTCATTGTGGCTTGTTGCTGGTTTTGCCTTGGGAGAGACCCACGCAGAAAAAAATGTTTTTGTGGATTAAAACAACCAGGATGGCCTCTAGGCCAAGGCTGACTGGAGAACTCTGGGGTTCTCCAATGTACTTTTCCAGTTTCTCATCAGGAAGAGGCCATTGTTCAGTGGAAGAGCACATGGGTTGGACATCCAGAGCCCAGACTCTCCCGCTGGATGGATCTGTAACCCTGCGTAAGCCTGTACCTGTAGTTTGGAAGGTCTTACATTGAAGGGGTGTGAAACTAGGCAAGATAATGTTTGAGTTCCAACTCAAAACACTCTGTGGTCTAGGATAGTCAGGTTGGCTCGTTCATTCAGAGCCAGGCACACTGGTGACATATTTATTTTCTCTTCCATCTAAGATCAGAGGTTCAGAATGATAACAGTCTGCGCATCAGTCGGGTGAGCGCGGAGGACGAGGGCACCTACACTTGTGTGGCTGAGAACAGTGTGGGCAAATCAGAAGCTTCGGGATCCCTCAGCGTCCATGGTAAGTATAGCTCGGTTGCTTGCAATATTTCATTGCTAGAAGGGTGCAGTTGTGATGTGGGGAGAAAAGAAAATGCAAGCTGGCAGAGGGGAGTGTCCTTGGACCTCGTTATGTTGTCAACGATGCTGAGAGGTCAGATCTACCCCGAGGCCAATAGGACTGCAGGAACTAAGGGGATTTTGACCCCCAAAAGTGATCCCAACATTCCTCCTCCTTGGGATCATCCGTGGGCCACATCCCCCCCATGCAGCTGAAGCTGGAAGTAATTGGAAGATTGTTTCTGATTTTTTTTTTAAATAATTTTTTTAATGAGGCTGTGCAGGGAGCCTTCTAGTAATGAATCTTGCTTCCAAGAGCTTGGTTTGCCAAGTTTTCAGTGTTTTTTTTTTCCCCACAAAGGAGTATGGGAGGAACAAGAGTTGGCCATGATTGTAAGGTTCAATTCCTGAAACGACACACTGCAGTGCAAAACGCATTGTGTTCTGTGTGTTTTCCTCATTGATGGAAGGTGATACATAGCTGCCGATGGATCGGCTCTAGGGCTATTCTATTTATGTACTGCTAATATATTCAGCCTTGCTTTTTCCTTCACACCATCCCAGTGGATCTAAGCAGGCCACCATTGCATAAAAACCAAAACCATAAAAAGTGATTTATATTTTTGGAAATGCAATAAAATCCCTGGCCCAACTGCAGAAAAATAAAATTCATATGTCTCCTTTCTCAGTATTAGCTTAAACCCTAGCCCCCAGTGGAAAGATTTCATAGTATTTATAGGGAAATCTTCCTTTTCAGAAATTCTTCAAGGGGGAGGAAGGCTCTAAAAGCCTTACTGGAGGGAGAGCTACCATTTGTAGTCTACAGAGAAGCCTGGTGGATCCCATAAGCCATTGGCTGTCAAGAAGAATCAGTTGACTGTAGTTATGCAGATGTTTAAAAAATATTTTATTTTCACCTTTTTTTTTTTAAAGCAAGTGTATGTGGGATAACTAGACCAGCAGAGTCATCCTGGCACATTTATTTTAAAAATTGTACGAGATTCATTTCTGGTAAATCTGGATGGAATTGCAGTTTTAGCAACTAAATATTTTCAACTGCAAATTTGAAACAAACCATTTTTTTATATTATTTTTGTAAAAGCTGCACATTGTTGTGTTTAATGGGCAATAGTCAGTGTCTCCTACAATTTTCACATTTATATCTTGATGTTTGAAGAAGTCTCTATATTCTAGGATACAACCTGATTGTGCCTGATTGTGAATTTGCACGATTATTATTTATTCACTACATGGATCAGAAACTTACATAGGTTGAGACTTTTTCCTACCATTTGGATCACACTCTCCAGCACACATTTTTCTTTTCTGGGTTTTGATTAGTAGTTTTTTATTTGCATGTAAATAACTCAAAATATCGTGTCCTGTCCTATGACAGACAGAGAAGACAGTGACTGTTTTGGGGGCTGCATTAGTATGACCCTGACAGGCAATTTTGCCATTTGTCTCTTGGTGCTCCTCTATAGTGACACCTAATGACACGATACAAGCATTACACAGTATCAGACAATTAAAATACAGTGGTGCCTTGCTTGACAACGTTAATTTGTTCCAGAGAAATCGCTGTAGAGCGAAAATGTTGTCAAACAAAATAAAAAGAACCATTGAAATGCATTGAAAACCATTCAATGCGTTCCAATGGGCTGAATACCTGCTCGTCCAGTGAAGAGCCTCCATACTGCGGCCATTTTCCGGTGCCTGTTAAGCGAAAAATCAGTCCTAAAAACAGCGGGGGAGGCATTTTCTTCCACCGGCGGCCATTTTGAAACCCGACAATCAGCTGTTTGCTGATCGTCGTAAAGCGAAAATCGGTTCCCGATCATTGTGAAACGAAAAAATCCCATTTAATCCATCGTTTTGCGATTGTAAAAGCGATTGCAAAAACTTCAACGTTAAGCGGATTCGTCGTAGAGTGGGGTAATCGTCCAGTGGGGCATGACTGTACAAGTCTACAAAGGGAGACTTATGTCTCTTATGTATCTATCCAGAGAAGAAACCTTATCTATCTATCCAGAGAAGAAACTCACAAAATAGAATCTACAAAGCAGAGATCTGCTTGCAAACGATGGATGGATGGATGGAGGATGGATGGATGGATGGATGGAATAGTCCACCTTTCCTTAAAGGTGCTCAAGGTGGTGTACATGGCCATCATCATGGTGGTATCATCCATTATATGTTCATCTGGTTGTTTGACACTACCAGTGGAGATGCTGCATTCAGATAAAACAAAAGTTCTAATTTCACAAGCAAATAACTAAGAGTTTGCCTGACTTCTCAACTGTGGGGGAACTGGAAAATTATAAAAGTGTTGCCAGATTTGTATCTGCCTGGATTTAATGAATGGTTTGCAGATTTGATTTTCTCGGCATCTTCTAGGGCAACCCCACACTGATTCTCGAAAATGTCTCCTAGAACACCTGCATGATGCCACCACCTCTTTTTCTTCATTCAGATTCATGACCAAAGCCCACATTTTCCACAAATCATTGCTCTACATATATTCATTTACTGTATTTGGGGTGTTTAAGATAAGAGCTGTATTGAAACAAATAAGAGCCCTGTCTAGTCCAGCATTTTGTTCCCATCGTGACCAGCCAGATGTGTGGGAAATCCACAAGTAGTGTACCAATCCATAAGCATTTTCCTGTTTTCAGCTGAAAGATATCTTATTTCTTTTATTTTATTAAATTTTACCCTGCTCACCCAGGCCACTACTCTGGATGGCTAACAAATCATAACAACATAATATAAACATTTTATAAAACAGCAATAATAATCTAATAAAACATCACTCAGAAGGGACCAAATTTCTAAATATAAAACAACTAATACCCAAAAAAGGAGGGAAAAAAACTAGAAATGTGTGGTTTCAGATGCAGACAGTTCAGAACCAACTAGGGCAGATTTTGAAGACTAATTGGGTGACTACATTAACCATTTACCCCACAATTTACATCAGGTTAACCACCCAGAGTTAGACCTTGGTCTAGATCGGCGGGATAGAAATAAATAAATAAAATAAAGGTTGGTCACAGGTGAATTTGAATTGAAACATGAGGTAAAGATCAGTGCAGAGGAAGTCTTCTCTTTCTTCAGCCGGTACTGCTGGTTTAAATTTGTGTTGATCAGGTTGTCATCAATTTTAACCACGTTTTGCCAGTGTGACTACCTGAATCAATTCAAACAGTTGCTCACAAGGGTGTCGGTTCCGCCCAATAGGCACCCCAGTCTTCACACAATTTCAGGGGCTGAAACAGATTTTTACTAGGGCACTTAAAAGAACTAAATAAACAAAAAGAGAGAGGTGGAAATTGCCGGTTAGCACCTTGTTAGCACCCAAAAGCAGGTTTTTCTGTTGGAGACCCATGTCTGCTTCTGCCCTGCAGACTCCTGCAAATGGTCATCCGAATGGCTACAGCAATTCACCTGAGGAAACCCGATTTGATAAACAGTGGATCAAACCATATTTCCCCTGCTACGTAGTTGCACCCTGATTTGGACGGACTCCAGAGATGCTTGAGCCAAAGCAAACTGAATCTGAATGTTCCTCAAGATTTGCTAGCTATTTTTGATCAGAGGCATCTAAAGATACCGACAGGGTGTCTTCAAAACATAATATGTTCCTCCCTAGGCTCTCCATAAAAAGAAAACACCGATACAAGGAGAGAAGAGGAAAAAATGTTGTTATATGACTAATAGCTCTAGCTTCTAACCGCAGTGACTGGTTATAGCAGTGCTGAGGTGCTGAGGAAGGGGTGCTGAGGAAAGAAATATTGGGACTCAGCCAGTGATCAGTGTTTGCTATTTCTCTTTCTCTCCCCTCACTCTCTCAAGGAGTCTTAGAGATGCCTTGACGCTGTCTGTGGAAATCTAGATGGTGTAGATTTGGGCGCTTGTTTGCAAAATGCCAGATGTCTCAATCTTTCTACTTCCACCACATTGTGTTCTAGTATACTCATCTCCCACCCACCCTCCTGTTACAGTTTCTGTGATCTTTATGCCAATTGAGGAAGAGAGAAATAAAAAGTCTTAAACGGCTTCTCATTCATTTTAAGTCCCCAACCTGTCATTCTCTAACTTTACAAGTTTCTTCCTCCTGCAAAAATTGTCTTCTGAAATCCTACAGGTTTCTTGGTGAAGACGGTTTCTATGCTTAAGCCATGTTTATAACAAATTCCTATAATATGAAGGTTTGTGTTCATTGTTCTTTTTATTATTATCATATTATATATTTTTTTCTGGCAAAGATGGCACTCAGGTCTGTTGAGAGAAAACTAGAAACATTAAAAACCATTAAAATCATCACCATAGTACATTTCATGGGGCATAGTTTTATTCGTCTGTTACAGCAAAAACTGCAGAGTCCTGACTGGCATTTGGGAGGAATAATCTAATCAACACCACTGGGGTGGAATTTGAAACCTACGCTCCTGCCTGGAGTCTGCCACTCCCGTTTTGAATCACTTTTGACAAAGGGACCTTGGCATGGACATCTAATCAAGATTTTTTTTTTTGTAGCTTTTATGTTTTTTCGGCACCATCCACAGCGAAGTGATGCCCAGCCTGTAGAGGTCAAAAGCTGGTTTCTGTTTGCGATGTAATATCACCTGCCTTCCCATCAGATTACATACAAGGGCCACGTGGTTTCTCTTTCTCTTCCCCCCACCCCCCACCCCAGGGGTCTTGTGACAATTTAGAAACTACCAAATATTATTCGGCATAACTTTGGTGAACTCTAGCCCACATCTTCAGATTTATAAATAATAGCAATACTGTATTAACAACAATAAAAGCAGTTTTAAAAGTTAAATTAAAAAAGGTATGTCTTCAGGGAGGCTTGTGACTCAACGGTTAAGCTGCAGTACTGCAGGTAAGACTCTCCTCACAACCTGCGTTCAGTCCCGACAAGGAGAGGTAGTCACCTCAAGGTTGACTCCGCCTTCCATCCTTCCAAGGCCAGTACACTGAATACCCTGCTCACTGGGAGGAGGGGTCAATGTGTAGCCTGCATAACTGGATTGTAAACGGGCCTTAAAAGACACCTGCTTCTTGGGAGGAAAGCGATGACAAATCTTGACAGCATCTTAAAAAACAGAGACATCACCTTGCCAACAAAAGTCCGCATAGTCAAAGCTATGGTTATTCCAGTAGCGATGAATGGAAGTGAGAGCTGGACCATTAAGAAAGCTGACTGCCAAAGAATTGATGCTTTTGAATTGTGGTGCTGGAGGAGGCTCTTGAGAGTCCCCTGGACGGCAAGGAGAACAAACCTATCCATTCTAAAGGAAATCAGCCCTGAGTGCTCACTGGAAGGACAGATCCTGAAGCTGAGGCTCCAGTACTTTGGCCATATGATGAGAAGAGAAGACTCCCTGGAAAAGACCCTGATGTTGGGAAAGTGGGCAGGCAAGAGGAAAAGGGGATGACAGAAGACAAGATGTTTGGAGAGTGTCATCAAAGCAACCAACATGAATTTGACCCAACTCCGGGAGGCAGTGGAAGATAGGAGGGCCTGGCGTGCTCTGGTCCATGGGGTCACAAAGAGTTGGACGCAACTTAATGACTAAACCAGTGGTTCTTAACCTTTTTGAAAGAAACGCCCCCTTGAGCCATTGAGGAAGTTATCATCGCCCCCCTCTTATTTCTTATTATATCTTGTTTGTTTGTTTGTTTGTTTGTTTGATGAAATCGCCCCCTGGGGGGCATTATCGCCCAGGTTAAGAACCACTGGACTAAACAACAAAAAAACTGTCCAGAGAGTGCTTTAAGTACTATGGGGCAGTATATACAGTGGACCCTCGACTTACAGACTTTTCGAGTTACAGACTTCTCTGGCAGCAAAATTTAGATTCGACTTGCAGACGGAGAATCGACTTACAGACCAGAAAAAAACCAAAATGGTACAAAAATAGAATAAAAACTGCCAATTATGGGATTAATCGGTTTTCAATGCATTGTAGGTCAATGGAGATTCGACCTACAGACTTTTCGACTTGCAGCCACTGTTCCAATACGGATTAATTCCGTAAGTAGAGGGTCTGTACACTGCACACTTCGCTTTTTTGCTTTGCTTTCACTCCATTCCTAAATGGTGTGAAAGCAGGAGCAGGAATTATGATCATTCTGCGAAAAGAGTACATGGATGCTGTCCAGTCTGGGTGACGTCCTCCGTGGACAAGTCTCTCAGTAGGATCTCTCCTTAGTCGCTGCTGGTACTGTATTTTTTGTGTTCCAAAACTGTTAAGCCAACCTGCTTCCCATATACATCTTTGGTTTAAATACCCTGTAGGGAAATGCTCTTCATTGTCTTTTCTTCTGCCGCGTCCCCTTATCACCTGGTAGGGTTTTATTTTGCCTTGGCTAATAAATCACTTGGGAACAAAACACCCTGCTCTTCTTGTAGCTAGGAAGATAAGGACCCCAAAGATGTATAAAAAGATGCTGGAGGATAGGAAATGCCAATTTCTCTGGTCCTTCATTTGAGCTAGCAACCCAATTCAATTTCCTGCCTCAGGGAAGGGAGGGAGCAGAGGTGGTCCGCCTTCATCTCTTATCTTCCTTCTAGATTTGTGGGCAGCAGGAACATTTCCTCAGGCGCCCAAGGTCATTCTTGCCCTTGTTTTATCTTTTTTTCCCTCTCTGTCTCTCTCCCTTTGAAGTGAGGAAGGCAGAGAAGAGGGGTGAGGTGGTGGGGCTGGCTGGCGGTCATGAATTTCCTGAGTCATAATATCCCTTCCATCATGCTTGGCTAAGCTTTGAAGTGATGCCTGGTGTGTGTGTGTGTGGGGGGGAAATCAGGGAGAGACAGAGTTCTGGGATGGGGGTTTTCTTTCCCAGCGATCATTAACCAAAGAGCCAGCATTTCCCTCCCTCCCATTTACATTTTGATTTGATTACGGAGCAGGTGGCACCCACCGAGACAGCAGGCTGTTGTTCTGGACAGTCAGAGGTCACCTGCAGCCATGCCTTTGTTCCAGTGGATCCTGCTCACTCCCATCTTTCTGCAGCTCCCGCTCAAGGCAGCCATGTCAAGAGAACGGCCATTCCTGTAGCTGCCTCTATGCAAGGACCCACACGTGACACACCTGGACCGGTGGCTTCCCCTGTTGTAGCCAAAGTGAAGGAAGTCGGACCTCTGGCCAAGACGAAGCGACCTTTGTTTGGACCCAGTAAAAAAGGCCTGCCCTGTTTATCTTCGGTTTCCAAATCGCCATGCGGTCTCCTTCAAGATTTATGGCTGTCTGAGGAAGAATGTGTGGCGTACAACCTGATCCACAGCCTCAAGTTACAAAATAAAACACACACGCCTTTGCTGCCATGTCTTTGACCCCCGCCTTTGATGGCGGGGTTTAGTTACTCTTTCTCCCGTGTTTGAATGAAAGGAAGATAAAAATCAGGGCAAGAAATATCACTGGCACCTGTTATAACAGTTTACGCTTGTATTTAAGAACTGATATTCTTTTTTTCTTACCCTCAAGAGATACGATTACAGAAACGTAAGACATTTGGGAGAAAGTTATGTGGTTGAATATTACATGGTTGAAAAGCATTGTAGATCCACATAACTGTGGGTCACCTTCATTGTTTATGTGCTTTCTAAAAAGGTTACCATGCTCCTCTCATAATTTTCATTGGAATCTCTGAACAACCTTTTTTTTTCCCTAAGAAAAAAGTGCCAAGAAATTGTGGTATTATCTGGCTCTTTTTAAATTTAGGCCAGTAGCCTTGGAAGGCAGGAGGAGTAAGTCTTTCATATAACACTTTGAATAAGAAGGAACAAAGTTCACACTCCTGGTGTTGTTGGACTACAACTCCCATCAGGTTATAGAGCCAATAGCAACATTCTCTCAAAGTTGTGCAGCTGCACAGCGCTATATTGGTGCAGCGCACTTACAGTTAGTGTTGCCACTCATTTGGTTCCTGCTATAGCCAGAATTTTGCGTGCGTGGGGTAGGGTTTCTGCTCAGTGCTGGTGGAAAATTAGAGGGAATGTTGGCTAATGGTGAGAATTGCTGGAAGTTGAAGTCCAGCAACATATGGAGAGGCAGATTTAGCCCACCCTGCTCTAAAAGATGAGAAACCCAAGAGATCAATTTTACATGCAAGGCACGACTACCGAGTAGGCAGTGTCTCTGCTTTCTGCCCAAATTCTCTGAGATGGCAGGATGTCTGAAGAAGAGCTTCATGTGATGGTGTTAGTATGGGACTGATGGAGGCAGGAACAGGTAATTGTTGCAGTGTCTTGTCTAACCCACTTCAGTGGTGCTTCTAGCTAGGTTTCATCATATGGTCCTGACCTATGATGGCAGGCAAGTGGTGATATATGGCATGATGGCATTAATTTGTCTACCTTTTTTTCTGGCCACCAGGACTGAGCATAGGACAAAAATTCTAAGATAAGAAATAAGCCATGGGACTCAGCACTGTGTCCAGTTTAAATCCTAGATGTCCTGATTCCCCACTCTTGTGCCAAGTAATTACTACTAAAAATATCAGCAGGCCTTTTTCTTTCCTCTCCCTGGAAATTTGGCAAAGGAAGACAATTTCTGGGGAAGAAGAGGGAAGCTGGTTAACAAATATGGGCTCATTCGCTCATGCACACACACACCTCCTTCCTTGCTGTTTAGTCCTTAAGTCCTGTCCAACTCTTCGTGACCCCATGGACCAGAGCATGCCAGGCCCTCCTGTCTTCCACTGCCTCCCCAGAGTTTTGTCAATTGCTTCCTGATTAGCATGTGGGTAACCTAGCAATCTGTAACTTCATTAAAGTGAAGCTTGCCGCGATCAGCATGACAATGGCACACCTGAAGTTCTTTTTTATAGTGGCCCAGTGGCCCATAAATGCTTTACAGCTCTGCAAGAAAGATGCCTATTGTCTCTCTGCTTCTTTAGGTAGTTTGCAAGGGAGGGCAAAGAAAAGATAAGGCAGATGATTAGCATTTCAGCACCCCCTCCCCCATGCCATTTGTCTTGCATTGAGAGCAACCAGAAGTGTTTGAGGGAGAATTCAAATCCGTAGGCATTATTTATGGGTGGGTGACTGATTTTCACAACTTCTTTATTTTGCCTCCTTCCATTCCATTTTATACCTTCTTCCTTAAAATAATGATATTCTGTGCATGGATTTAAAGGATTATGGGGTTTTTTAAATGTAAATTTAAAGCCAAACCATCAGAAAGTGCATTTATCTGTTGGATTTCTTCTTTCATGTTATGCCTTGGCTTTTCTTTTTCATACCCTAGTGCTTTTTGGATCATCCCCATCTTATTTCCCTTGCAAAGGTCTCCATCCAACTGCTTATACAGTGGTGCCCTGCATGACAATGATAATCCGTCCCATGAAAATTGCTGTTTAGCGAAATTGTCGTCATGCGAAAACCATTTCCCCATTGGAATCCATTGAAACCCGGTTTAATGCATTCCAATGGGGAAAATACCTTGTCATCCAGCAAAGATCGCCAATAGGGAAGCCATTTTGCGAGCGCTGATCAGCTATTAAAATGGCTGCCCTATGAAGCATCCGGAAAACACAGGGCAGCCATTTTGTGAAGCTGAAAAAATTGTCATCTTGCGAACAAACGGTTCGCGGAGCACGGACCTAATCAACGTCCAGCGAAAATCCCCCATTGGAATGACTGTTTTGCGAATCGCTATAGCGATCACAAACAGTCATTGTTATGTGGATTTCTCATTTAGCAAGGTTGTCGTTTAGCGAGGTACCACTGTATTTTAAAAGTCTCTTGGGCTTGCCCAACGGGAGCCAATGCTGTGAAATCAAGCATTTCTACTGTGCAGCAGCACGGGAAGCTGTTGTACAGGAAGTCTAGCCTTTGGTTTATTTCATACAACATATATTTGTTCATGTCAGAAGCACCACAGTACAGTTAACAAATGTGTTTTCACCTAACAATGGGCAGCATCAAGAGCCTTTGGGGCAGCTAACTGCAAGTCTTCTGGAGTATATATTGAGGGGTATAGAGGGCAGTAACTTAGGTATGTTCCTCTTCACATTCACAAAGAACTATGTCAACACAAAAGCTCCAAAACCTTATTACTTTGGTTCTCCTAACTCCAGCCCATAGCCTACTTATTAACTCTTCTCCAAATAACCAGATCTCCATGTAGACTTTTCTGGGGTTCCATCCATTTTGAGAGGTGGGGTGGTTCGTTCCTTCCACATTATAACCCCTGGCATTCCCTGCTGTTTCTTCAGGACTCACAGATGTTCTCGAAACACTATTTGTCCCATTAGCTTTTTTATGTGTTGAAGGATTTTTGTTCAAAAGTCTCATTCAGTTGTCTTTGTCTCTCTTCCTACTTCTGGTGTTCCCTCAGTGCCCCCCCAGCTAGTGACTCGTCCTCGGGATCAAATTGTAACGCAAGGCCGCACAGTGACTTTCCAGTGTGAGACCAAAGGAAACCCACCACCGGCTGTGTTCTGGCAGAAGGAAGGGAGCCAGGTAGGATCAGCGTTACACTTTATGAGGGGTTTGGGGTTAGGGGGTTAGAGCTGTGGTATTAGCTGAATCCTTGCCAGCCTTGGTTTTCATGGACTGTTGTTCTGTGCTACGTATAAAATATCATGCAGAAATGTGATACAGTGGGATTTTGGGGGTTTTGTTGTTGTGCTTTGGGGTTTTTTTGCAGTGAAATCAATTTATAAATTAGAGGTTGGAAAAAGTTATTTTGTGGCATTATAATTCCACAAATCAACCAGCCAGCGCAGTCAGTGTCTGGGAAATTCAGGGAGAAGTAGTCCAATGAAGAATTTTTTTTCCTAAATATCGCTTAAATGCTGTGTGAATATATATGAGATGGCAAAGTAGGAAAAGAGGAGGAAAAGTATTGGGCTACACATAGCAACATAGAGAGCACCATACATAATTAATTAATTAATTAATTAATTCAATTTTTAGCCCGCCCCTCTAGACAACGTCTACTCGGGGTGTTGCAATCCTATGCAATCTTAGTTCAATAGTAAGCACAGCTGAGTTCAAAGCGACTTACTCTTGGTAAGGATTTTATAGAATGGCAACCTAAATGCTGTGAGACGCTTCTGAGGTAGACCAAGCATCTACAAATATAAAAAATTTCATAGCATAGCAGACTCTTGCACTTAACAGCTTTTGCTATTATGCTCAGGATGTGGTTCCTGAAGAATGTTCACAGCTTACACACGAGATCTGTGCAGTCGTCTCACTTCTCCTTCACATCTCCACTCCCTTGCTTGCATGCTGGGTGACCCCCTCTAGCCTTTTCTGGCTTCTTACACCTCCTCCTTTACACTTCCCTCCCTAGCGAGCTGGGCACTGCCCATTGACCTCCACTGTCCTCTCACTTCTCCATCCCTTCTCCATTTTCTGGCTTGCTATCTGGGTCCTCCCCACTTCCCACCCCACAACCTCTGCTGTCTTCTCTTTCATACCTCCATTGCCTTACTCCTCCTCTTGGTGACACAAACACACCAGTACAGAGCACTGGGAACAGTGGTTGTACAAGTGAGTGTTTGACATGGGATGGGGACATTAGCTAATAATGGAGTGGCTGTAAAATCAGGGCACTGTAAAGAGAGTTGTAGGAAGTCGGGAGTCTCCTGTCACCTCTATAACATCTCCATATATGTGGTTACAGCAATTTTTACCCCAGATTTGATTGAAATACAGCAGCATTCAAGTTGTTAAACTCCTGGGCTTTCTGCTAGCTGTCACAGCCCTGGTTTGAGGTAAAAAAGAGATAACACGAAAGTGGTATGAAAAAGCCTCTTTACTACAAGTAAGAATAATCATCCTGCTTTCCAGAGTTCTGAGTGGGAGCTGAGATTTTACCTCCATAGTTGTTTTTAGCCTGCAGAGCCTTATTCTATCATTCAAACGTGTGGGATGCAGATATGCCTCTAGAGAGGCCCCGTTCCTTGGAATGAACAATTTGAATTTTCTAAGTTGCCCTTAAGTAGCTCTGAGCTATTATTATGTCAGTTACTTACATCCTGAGAGAATAAGTGATGGAAAGACAAGGCAAGAAAGAAAAAAAAGACACATAATGGGAAGAAAATATGATAGATTGAAACTTTTTCTCACAGAAGCATGTGTAAACCCCAAGCCTAGAAATATTTATTTATTTAAAGTATTTCTATCCTGCCTTTCCCCCCAAAAGGACCCAAGACAGAATAGAAATAACATTACAAATTATGAGTTCCTTGTGATTAATCATTAATTTTTTTGCAATAACCAAGGCATGGATAAGTTATAATTTCAATCTATTGGGAACTGACTTCACTCATTGTGTCATGTAACTCTTTTATTATCTTTATAGTTACAGTGTGTGTGGCCTTAGGTGCATTTTGTCACAAACCATCAGCTTGTGACATTCAGGGTTTTTTTATTAACTGAAAAAAAACCCTGGTTTAGTTATTTCTGAAAAATGAAAAGGCAGAGTTAGTTTTAAAAATTTGTAATTATAATGATAACTAATTGTTTTGGGGGCAACTTCAACTAAAGTAAATGAATTAATTAAGTTTTACTTTGTGTATGAAACACAACCTTGTGAAGTAGATTCAGTGCTTATACCATAGTAGAATTTCAGAGCAGGAAGGGGACCGCTGAGGTGACCTCATCCATTGACTTCCGTGAGGTGGATTTAATTCCCAAGAGAGGGGTGTGTTTGAAGTGAAGTTACAATCTACGGAGGATTATTTTAAAATGGACTGCAAGATAGAGGTTGTGAAATAAAAGCTGTGGAGTCCTCACAAGAAGACTCATTCCTGGTTTTCTTTTGTCCAGATTCTTCTTTTTCCCAGCCAACCGCCTCAGGCAATGGGCCGCTTTTCTGTATCTCCCAGCGGTGAGATGACTATCATGGATGTGCAGACCTCTGATTCGGGTTATTACATGTGCCAGGCCATTAGTGTGGCAGGAAGCATCCTGGCCAAAGCTCTCCTGGAAGTAGAAGATGGTAAGTAACTTATGAGTGCAAAGTACAGGTAACTGTTTCAGGTCATACCTAGCAGAGACTGGAAGGAGGGATGATCCTCTGGCTGCAAAGAAGCTTGTGATAGTGCTTCCTTAGTAGTAGTGGAGGGCAAAACAGGGGAAGTATAGTTAGCAGGTCACCCCACTGAATCTCCTTGACAAGAATGAAACAATATGTCTGAAGCAAACCACAGAAACACCTGTATCCAGTAGTGTTTGCAGAGGTGGCCCCAGGTTTTGTAGGTTTTGCTGCATTTCCCATTTCTCTTGAAAGTAAACAGTAAACAGGCTCAGTCTGAGTCAACCTAAAATGATGTCCTACACAAATGATGAGGAGCCTATAGTCCTTCAGTCCCATCATTGTACACTCCTGCCTAAAATGCACTGGCCAGAGCAGATGAGAACTGTAGTCCAACAGTGTTTGGAGAATCACAAGTGTCCTGACCCTCCACCGGCCCTGCTCAGGAAAAAAACTCCATTGTCATGAGAACAAAACACAGCATGGAAAAATCTTTAAGAATGTGCTTTTGGGCCAAAAAAGCAAGGTGATTCCTTGTAGAACTATGAAGGATGGTAAATATTTTCTGTCCAGTAAATAACGGAGTCTTTGGTTTTGTAGAAAATTCTACCCACCCCCATTCTTGCTTTGATGAGGCTTTTAGCTGGCTAATGTTCACCATAGCCACCAAATAATTTTCCTTTCTCCCACCTCCCTTCTTTAGCTTCCTGCAGCTAATATCATCATATCTGAGTTTCCTTGGAAATACGCAGATACAAGAAGAAGAAGGGGGATACCACAGACCGGGGGGCGGGGGTGGGGAGCTAGTCTGGATCAGGAAATCTTTCACTTTTTAATTGCTAGAAGTAAAACCACAGGAAATAATGGTGGTTGAGGAGGGAAGAATAAACAGCGGAGGTTGCAGGTTCCTCCCCATCTCAGGACAAGTTGGTCTTGCTCACATCTACTCCTTTAATCTCATACATGCCACCCATCCTTCTGAGCAAGCTGTGCTTTGTCAAAACAAATGATCCATTAATGAAATGTTGTCGGGTTACAAGTCATGTACGTAGGAGGAGGAAGAATACATTGCTTGTATAAGTAAATAACATCTCAGCTATTGAAAGAATAATGCACCTCAAGGCAATGCTGTTGAGGGCTTGTCTTTGTGTTTGTCAGGCTCACTGCTTAAGAAACCTTGTTCTGTGGTTTAACCCAGTGCTTTTTGCTGCCAGAATCAGACCCCTCCTACTCCATGTTTTTAAAAAAGCCAACTGGAGTGGATATTGACTCTTTCACAGTTGTGAAAGAAGAGCCTTCTGATCGCATGTGAAGGAGCAGGCTGTCTTATAGGGTGCAGAGCAAGCTGCAGGGTACATAAGTCTCATTGCAACCCCTTGATGTCATCTCTCAACATCTGCTAGCTGAGCTGATCACCTCTCTGTGCTAAGTGGTTAGGATGTCCCTAATTGTACAGAACCCCATTTGGTCCTTGGCAAGAGTAAAACAAGAGGTCATGTGAACAAAAAAATAATTGTGATGGACCAGACCAAATATCCATCTTTCTTTTTCCCACTATGACCAACAGATGCCTCAGGGAACCAGGGAGATAGGCCTTGAAGGAAATCATTCTTTTCTGGATTTGTCCTAGCCATTAAGTATTCAGCAGAACAAATGGGACCTGCCAGAAATATATGTGGCCATGTACCTGTATTTCCTGACAGTTCAGCATTCCTTCCTTCCTTCCTTCCTTCCTTCCTTCCTTCCTTCCTTCCTTCCTTCCCCCCATCTATCTTGAATCCTCCCTCCCTCCCTTCCTTCCTCCCTCCACCCTCCCTCCCTCGTACAGTTTTAGGAACACCCTTTCTCCACACCAGATCATGAAACTACAGCAAAATGATATCAACTTGTGATTCTGTCATGTAAACAGACTATTTTTTTTCTGGACAGCAGTTGCCATCGGCTCTTTCCAACAGAGCCAATCCTGTAAAAGTCCTACAAGCAGTTTCCTGCTCGCTCCCTGGTGGTATAAAAAGAACTTGATAATAAATCAACAACTGCCAACTTATTGAGAGTTGCCTTTCTGTGATGGTTTTTTAAAAAAACCCTGCAGCTTGGGGCAGTTCCTTGTGGTTGGGCTGCTTTTAGCTCCAGAAGGCAGTGAGACCTCCCATGGCTTGGAGAGTCTGTCCATCTGACCTGGTCTCCACCATGTCTCCAAGAGTGCCAGATGACCCCGTACCTTGTTGAACTAGTGACCTGGAAGTGAAAAGCTTTGTACTGCCTTCTCCCCTACCCCACAGTGTTTCTCCCCAGAGAGCAATTCTCTATCCTTGACAGAGGCTCCCCCCCTCCCCTCCTTTCTCTCTTTTTTAATGGTAACACCTGATCCATTGGGGGGCAGACAATTGGGAGAGATTAATAAGACAAAGAAGGTTGTAACCCTGAAATCCTCATTTAGCTGCAGCATTGCCAGCTGGGTTTCTACGGCAACAAGAGGAGACACTCTTCCCAAACTGCTCTGGCACACCACCGAGGAGATGTGCCTCTTTTATGTGCATGCATATCACATGTTGACATTTCTCCTTCCTTTTTTAAAAAAAGAATTTGTTTTCCCCTCTTGTTTGCTGGTTGGGAAGAGGTGTCTTGTTGAGTCCTCAACTCTGCTATGTAAGAATTAGCAAGTGTTGTAAGACTGCCTTCTCTTCTACAAGCACAGCCGAAGGGGAGCTGCTTGTACATCACTTAACAAGGAGGACAAGAAAAGGCTGTAATTTCCAGGCCCTCTGAGTCTCATCTCCGTCGAGGGTGCACAAATCGTCTTACGTTCTACAACTTTTTTTAAATATATATGACATGCTGTTCTTTATCTTTATGCCTCAGTGAGGAAGCCTCGTGATGTGAAATGGCCAGAGCCTTACCTGAGCTCTCAAGAGAGCCGGCTGATTTGCATAAAATTGCATGAGCTTATTTCCACATATGAATGTAAAATTAGAAATAATTTCTATAAAGTAAGTGGAATTACAGTTCTGGACAGCAGCTGCCGTTGGCTCTTTCCAGCAGAGCCAGTCCCCCACCGAAATCCCACAAGCAGTTTCCTGCTCCCTCCCTGGTGGTACAAAAAGAACTTGAAAATAAATTAGCAACTGTCAGCTGATGGACAGCTTCCTTTTTATGATGGTTTTATAAAAAACCTACAGTTGCCTAGTGATAGGGCTGCTCTTAAGGCCAAGTATGGCGGGTGACTTGTGGTCCTAGTGGATCTGCCCTCCAAATCCTGGGCAGTTCCAAGACTCTGACCTCTACCCTCCTTATGGTTTGTTAGCTTTAAATCCAACTCGGACTGAGCAGTACTTCAAATGGAGGACCATCCTCCCTGATTCAGAATAGGAGGCCCCTGTAAGCAGGTTGATCTAGCCCACCTTTCTGGGCAGATGGGAGTAAGGGAGGAGGAGGAGGAGGCAACTGGGGGTGGCGTACCTATTTTTGTCAGTGGCACTCCTGATGCCATCAAATATGATGTCAATCATTTTTTAAAAATATTATTATTATTATTTTGTCTGCTGGGAGATTTGGTGGGGCGAGCAGGCAGAGGAGGAAGTGACAATAATCCGTCTCCTACCCAAGTGATGAGCGCAAGCCCTCATGCTGAAAGCTTGGCAGGTGCGACAGATGATTCCTGTCCAAATCCAGCTCCTTTGCCTTGATTGATTTTTTCCCCTTCCCTCCCCCCCACTTCCCTCCCCTCAGCGTGTTCGCTTTCACTGCTGATTGTTACTGGGAAATTCAATTGTGTGTGAACTCTTGAGCGCCCTTTGTCCACTGGCTGCTTCCCAGTCGATAGAGAGTAATCAGGGCCATAAATAACAGGCAGAGCCACCGAGCTGCTGGATAGGAGGAGAAGCTTGGGTTTAGTGCTGGGGGACTAAAAGGGCACATCTTTTAGATAAGGTGGCACAGTAATCCAGCTCTGAAGCTCTCTCCCTTTGAGACCTGCTGCTAAAGAGGGCAGTAGTTCAAGTGAGCTGCTTATATAGGGGGACGGAGGGGTGGGAAGGTTATGACCCACAGGAAATGATGTCACTCTGGGTGGGGCTCCAGCCCTTTAAATATTTACTTTTCTCTACAGTTTGGGGGATAGCCAAGGAAGGGGTATATGTATTTAGTCTGGTCTTTATGGTTTCTTTAGAGGCAGGGAATAAAAGCTAAGTATGCTACTTAATTGTGGTGGCGCTGCGGGCTAAACCGCAGAAGCCTGTGCTGCAGGGTCAGAAGACCAGCAGTCGTAAGATCGAATCCACGTGACGGAGTGAGCTCCCGTCGCTTGTCCCAGCTCCTCACCAACCTAGCAGTTCAAAAGCATGCAAATGCGAGTAGATAAATAGGTACCACCTCGGTGGGAAGGTAAAACGGCGTTCACTAGTCACGCTGGCCACGTGGCAACAGAAACTGTCTTCTGACAAGCTGGCTCTATGGCTTGAAAAACGGGATGAGCACCGCCCCCTAGAGTTGGACACGACTGGACTGAAAATGTCAAGGGGAACCTTTACTTTTACCTTTTATACTACTTATTTGTGGCATTAATCATATTGGCGCAGCAAAAGAGGGCATTTGCTTTTGGCTTTCTCACTTACAAGATTACATTTCAGCACCCACTGGGAAGAAAATGGGCCTTTATCAGAACGGTTTTGTCCATCTACTAAATGGTACAATCCAATGGTAATATAACAACTATTTTAATTCATTTTGGATGCCACCCACCCTGGGGGTGGATGTAAACCTTTAATACACTGAAACTGCAGAACCCAGACAACAAGGAATATGTTGTCTGGGTTCAAGGGGACTTACTTTTAAGTAGACATTTAAAGTGTGCAGTTGAGGTAATGTCATGTGATGTTGTTGGGTCTGTTACTTTGCTTTAAAACATGAAACTGCTTTCTTAACAAAAGTGGCAACACTTTGATAACCAATCAGTTTGATTAATC